ACGGCCAAAAAAACCCAACGGGTACCCCCCCTCCCCCAAACGGACCCCCCTCGGGGGAAACCACCCCCCTCCCCCCAACGCCCATCCCCTCTTCCCTTTGCCCAAAGTCCCTTCAAGGCCTCCCACATCCAGGCCAAAGCCCGACGTGCCTTGTCCAGGAACCGCCAGGCCTATGATGGGCCCAGCAGAGGGCGCCACAGCTGCCCGGCAGGAAAGAGGACCTACCTGCTCCTGGCTCCCCTCCCCTCATTTGCCATCGCCAGGAGATGAGGGGGTGCAGCTCAGTCCCCCTCTTTTCTGCAACAGAGGAGTGGGTTTGGGCAGACCAGCCTTTCACCCCCAGCCACCCCCCCCACCTTGCTTTGTCTGGACCTGCATATCTCTCAGATTTTTCTAAGGACCAAAAAAAAAAAACCCAAAAAACAAAAAAACAAAAACAAAAATATAAAAAACAAAACAACCACAAAAAAAACTATAAAAAAAAGAATTAAAAACTTTCAGAGAATTACTATTTACTTTATTAACTTACGGATTTATTATATAAATATATTCACCTAGCAACATATCTTTGCCGCCTCTTGCTCATGATGAAGATGTAGCTGATTTGCTCCACTCCCTCCCAGCCCCTTACTCTTTGTTGTCTGCCGTCGGGCCTGGGTCTCTGGGGACCCTCCTGAGGTGAAGGGTGGGCTGTTGGCCTAGCTGCCTGTTAGTGGATGGTTTTGCTACCCCTCCCCTCCCTTTTTTGAGTTTATTCTGATTATTTTTTTCTCGGTTTCTGGATAAACCACCCTTCTGGGGACAGGATAATAAAACATGTAATATTTTTAAGAAGGATTCCTACAGTGTCCTCTCTTCTCCTATCTCTGTTCTCCACTCCTTAGGAGATGGATGAAAAAGCACCTCTTCCCAGAGCGAGGTGGGGTGTGGGAGTGCCACGGTCCCCACTCGCCTGAGTGAGTGGAAGTAAGAGTGCTGCTGGGGACCCATCCTGGACCAGGCACCATTCTGAGGGTGTAACACGCACTAACTCACGCAGCCTGCACAAGGAAGGTGCTGTTGCCATGCCCATTTACGGGTGAGGAGAGCAAAGCACAGAGAGGTGCAGTGATGTGCCCAGTGTCACCCAGCTGGTGGGTGGTGGGGCCAGAAATCAACCCCAGGCAGGCTGCCTCCCACGGTCATGCTCTGAACCTCTGCTTAATGTTCGAGCATCAGCCCCCTCCCTGTAGAATAAACCCCAGTCCTGTAGAATAATCTCCCAGGCTGGGAGAAGGGAAGGGTGGGGCTCTCGGCAGCTCTCCCGCCTCCAGCTGCAGGGGCTCCTGTGCTGAGGTCCTAGGAGAAGGTGGCCACCTCCATCCACTGGGCGGGAAAAGACAGCAGATGTGAGGCAGGGGACTTTCAGACTCCCGAGCCACCCTCCCTCCAGCCCAGGCTCACCTGTCTGTGGGTCAGGCAGACAACCCCCTCGCCCCCATCCAGGTGCTGGCTGCAGTGGCCTGTGCAGAGAGGGGCGAGGTGAGTCCCCCTGCCGTGGAGATGTCCTACCTCTGCCCCACCTGTACCAGGCATGTCACTCACGGAAGATGCAGATGAGCTGGGCCAAACAGGACACAAAATGCTCGAAGTCCACACGCAGACGGCTGTCCCGGTAGCGGCTAGTGAGGACCTGGGTCAGCTGGTTGTTCAGGTGGAAGCCTGGGGGAGGCCACCTCTGAGCCTGGGCTGCCCCCCTGAACCCCGCCTCAATGTTTCACCCCACTCCGACTCCCCAGGGAAGACACACCATGGGAGTCTGGTCCCACCTCTCAAATCCCAGCTCTGCCTCACCCCAGCTATGTGGCCAGGGGCAGCTCCCTTCTCTTCTCTGGGCCTCAGTTTCCTCATCTGTCAAGTGGGAACTTTGACAGCCCTAATCCCATAAGATTGTGTGAAGAAGTTACACATAGAGAGTTTAGGACAGTGTCTGACACAGACTAACTATGCCAGTGTTATTATTCCTTTAAACTCTGCAGAATTTCTGCTAATGGACACTGGAGAACGTTTCTGTGCAGCAAAGCATTTTGGTCAGTCCCATATGGAGTTAGTTTCTCCCTGCTCCACACCAGGGCTGACGTTTAAAGTTTAGAAATCATCTGATGAGGAATCTCAACTTTTAAAAGCTAAAAGCAGTGATTCCCCTCCCAGGTCACAGATAACCCTTCCAGACCCCAGGTTGCAGGGTGACTCTCCTCTGTCCCCACATGTCCACATAAACACAGTTCTAAGGGTAATTTCATGGGCTCTCACCCCCTCAAGCCCATCTTTACCCCCTATTCTGTGCACCAGTCATTTTAACAAGTAGTTGTCAGGTGCTGTCACACACTGTGCCTTACTCTAGGTGCCGCTGAGCAGTTGGCCCAAGGGACTGTGGCCTCAGCCTGGCAGTGTGCCCTCCAAGAGGTCACACCCCTTCTGGCATTTATGTTTCCTCAGGAATTAAGGGGAGGTGGTGCTGTGCCCAGGGCTGTGGGAGGCCCTGGCCAGCGGAAGCAGAAGGACCTGAGAAGGGGCCAGGAGCCCCTCAGCTGCCCGCTCTGGCATTCCTCTCCTTCCATGGGAGGTGTCCGCTTCCTTTGACTGCTCCCAGACGCTCCCATGTCCTGTGCTGCCTGGTACGGGGGCCTTCCGGGGCCCCCAGTTCTTATGAAACCTGTTACCTAGTCTACTGGGCCCTAGTGACCATGACCTGGTTACCCATCCCCAGGGCCCCCATTGTCCCTGGCCACCTGGTGGCCCTCACAGGCTGCACATCATCTGCCCCACTCTGTCCCCACCTCCACCTGACCTTGGGCACCATCTTGCCTCCTTTGCACTGGATGCGCCCTCTCCCCAGAACACCTCGTCCCCTCTTGGTCTGGAGTATTGCTGCTCCAGTGCGCCCCTCCGTCAGGAAGTCCTCTCAGACACTGAACCCCAGCGAGCAGCAGCAAGCTCCTCCTCAGGCCTCCCTGCCGTGCCCGGACCCCTCTGAGCTGTCACTGTCATCGGTGACTCTGGCTGCCCCTGGACTGGGCAGGGAGGTGCGACTTGCGAGGTCAGGGAAGGGCTTCTGGTCACCCCTAAATGCCCACCATCAGCCAGTACAGGGCCAGGAGCAGAGCGGGTGCTGAGGGAGTGTTTGTGGAGCAGAGAATAGGGCTGGATTTAAAGAGCTTCTCACAAGGCCTCAGGGGACTCTCCTGTCTTCCCTCCCCAACCTTTCCTCTGACCACCTTCCAGTGACCACTTGGCTCCAGCCACAGCAGCCCCCTGTACTCATCTCCATCAGTGGGCCCCTCGTTCACGCCACTCCCTCCACACCAGCCTCCTCAGGGCACATGTTCACACCTCAGGGTCTTTGCACTGACTTTCCTTCTGTCTAGACTGCTCTTCCCCGGTGTCCTCCAGGCTCACTCCCCCTCCTTCAAGTCTCTGCTGGAACTTCACCTCAGTGAGGCCTTCCCTGACTGCCCTGTCGTCACCCGCACCCCACCCACTGTGTGTCCCAGCACCGTGGCCTGCTTCCTTTTTCCACCATAGCATTTATCACCGCCTGACCTAGACATTCTCCTTCTTGGTTGTGTGTCTGCACCACCAGAACATCAGCTCCTTGAGTCCACTTTTCTTCTGCCTAGAATAACACCAGGCCTGTCCCAGGCACTCGGTAACCCTGAGTGAACAGTACAAACCTTCCATCTTCCCCCCATCCTCTCTCCCCTCCGTTTCTGATCACCTGGGACTCCATTTCTAAGGGTCACATCTCCCAATCTTCTCTCTCTGACTCCATCTCCCCCTTCTATCTTGAGTTCCTTTCTTGTCTTGTACCTCCTTGGACCTTTGACCTCCCTCCACTAGGGTCTCCCTTGCCGCTCAGACTCCGGATCACAATCACCCCCAGCCCGTCTCCCCACATCTCACCCTTCCTGTTGCTGTAGCAGATGAGCCCTGGGGTCGGGTAGGGGTCTGGGAGTTCTGTGTCTCATCCCAGCCACTCCCCAACCCTCCACACAAGGTCGGGTAGGGGACAGATCACACAGGCACTTCTCTAACTTACTTCAGAGCCCAGGAAAGTCGCTCTCTGGCTCTGCTCCTTGGCTAGGATCTTGTGCTCGCACACAAATGGAATGGGAGGTTCTACGTCTCCCGGAAGAACAGCCTTTCAGCAGGAGCCTCCCTTCATATTCTCTGACGCGTGGTAACCGAGGCTGCATTCCCAAGCACTAGGCCCTGTGGGCTCCATTCCACAAGCTCCTCTTACAGAGAGGGAAATGGAGGCTCCAGGTGGTGGACTTACGTGCCCAGGGCCACCCAAGGAGTCCAGGAGTCCCAGATGTTCTAACATGAGGCCCTGGGGGCCAGGGCTTCTCAGACAGCAGCTTCCGAGCCCCTCCTCTCTCCTCCCCCCCAGGAAGGCCCCCCTCCCCTCAGTGACATCCCGGGCCCATGCTCCTCTTACGGCCCCTGTCCCCTGGGGATTCTCCCCACGTGGCCTCTTTCAGGGTCACCCAGTCCCTGCCAAGAGCTGGCAGCAAACTAAGGTGCGGGCTTTGTGGCTGGTAGGGTAGGAGTAAGGGGTAGGATGGGGAGCAGGCCCATCCCCCAGATCCCAAGGACCTCTGTCCATACCTGCCGCATTCAGCGCCAGCCTCAGCTCATAGGAGTTCATGGTTCCAGAGGCATCCTCATCAAACTTGTCAAATGCAGCCTGGACAGGGAGGTACTGGTCAGCCTCCCAGCCCCTGAAGGAGGCCGAAAGGGGGCCCTGGAGCCAGACAGCCTGGGCTTCCACCCCAGCTCCCTTTCTTCCTCGCTGCTTGTCCCATGCAAGCAGCTTAACCACTTTGGGCCTCCTTCCCAGTCTGTAAAGTGGGAGGAATGGTAACAGCAGTAACCAGGTTGCGGTGAGGACAGGCTGATTCTACCCACAAAGGGCCTAGTGAGGGCTCAGCAAACAGTAGCTTATCACTTCTAGTGTAGGGGGGCCTGGGACCCACAGAGGTGGGAATTAGTGTCTCCTATTGGTAGACAAGCAAAGCCCCCTCATAGGACAGCTGACTTGCCTGAGGTCACACAGCCAGAAAGGTTAAGCTAGAAGCTAGGATTCCAACCCAGGACGAGTCTGCTCTTCATCCCTGAGCTATTTATCCCCCCTGGACCTGGAGGGACAACGAAACGGTGGACAAGGCAGGGACATCCCAGCCAGATCCCTCCAAGTTGGTTGGTGTGGTGTGGTGTGGTCCAGTCCCCCCTTCACCTCTGGGGCCCGCTAGCCCTCTCCGTCCAGGAGGAGGTGGCCCTCCCCAGCTCCCCACCTTACCTGCCACTCCAGGAGGTGGCCCCAGAGCTGCTGGAAGTGGTGCAGGGCCAGGCTTCGCCCATGCTGGGAATGCGGCATCTGGTTAAGGTTAATATTCCCAGAACAGAAGCAGAGTTCCCCACATCCCCATCCTCCCTTACCCAGGCACGGCCCCCATCATATACCCCAAAACACTGTAGCAGCTGCTCACAGGTCCTGAGCCCGATTTCTCTGGGGTTCCGAGCATGGGTCCTGGCTATAGGAAAAAAGCAAAACAGTAGCACTTCCTGCATATGGGCCATGACTGTAAGTGCCAGGGATTATTGTTATCCCCACTTTATAGAAACTGAGGTGCAGAGAGCCATGTGACTGCTGGCAACTAGCAGAGCTGAGGTTTGAACCCAGGCAGCGGGGGTCTCAGTCTGTGCTCACGGCAGCTACACTCCCTGCCTCTCCCTTAGAGGAAGGGGCACTTTAGTGGCCATGGCCTTGGCCCACAGGTCCTGCCACAGGACCCACATTTGGGGAGATGCCACCAGGCTGAGCCCAGGGTTCCCATGACCTGACTGTAGCAGCATCATGGATGAACACACATGGGGGGTTCCATGGGGTCAGCTCTTGGTCCCCAACTCACCAGGCTCCAGGACAATGCTTAATAAGGTCTGGAGCTGAGGGGCACTGAGTTCTTCCTCCTGGCAAGGAGAGAGCCAGTTGTGAGGCTGTTCACTCAGGCAGCCATTCAACAAACAGCCTGGGGCAGCCCAGAGAGCATGCTGGGCATTGCTGGAGACACAGCAAAGACAGAGAGCCACAGGCCTGCCCTCTCAGAGCTCGCGATTGAGGGAGGGAGAGAGACCTGTCCTCAGAGTGATCAGGGCTGCAATGGAGAAGCAGTGGGCTATGGGAGACACCCAGGGAAAGCAGCTGGCCAGCCTGGGGAGGGTCTGGGAGAGCTTCCAGAGGAGGGCACATTGGAAAGATGAGGTCTTAGCCCCACAGGGGTTGTGAAGAGAGAGAAAGCAGTCAAGGCTTAGGGTACAGACTGAGCAAAGGCGTTGAGGCAGAGAAGGGCTGAGAGCACTTTGAGAAAAAGTCAGGAGATTTAAGCACAGAAACTAAAGCAAAATGAGATGTTGAGGATGAAAGAGGGGGACAAGGGGAGGGAGGTGGAAGGGAGGGGACCCGCTTTGTCCTGCCCAGCTTCCTCACCTCTCCTGCCAGCTCCAGGAACAGCTGCTCCAATCCCAGCTCCAGGGGAATGTAGGGGACCTGTGGGGTGGGGGGAGTTTAGTTCTGGCCAAGAAGATTCCCTCCCACACACCATCCTCCCCACCCCTCCCTCCGCAGCAGCCCCTCACCATGAGGGCATGCATGTCGGCGCTGATCACGTCATCAATCTCCCTGCAAATTACAGATGAGAGATGGGGGAGGGGGCTGCTCACCCCGCTGCTGGGGATATGGCGTGTGCGGGTCTCAGCTAAGACTCAAGGTGGGTTTTGAGGGGACCCTGGGCTGACCCACGCAGGTGGGGCTGGGGATCCCGGGGGCGGGGCGGGGCGGGGCTGGGTGCCTGGCTCACAGGGCGGTG